AATAGAGATTTCAACTATTACATTTGAAATCCGGATATGTAAATCCATGTTAAATTTACATTTGAAATCTTATAACATATACAATGTTTCCTGGAGTGGCATTGATTTGAGCCAGCAACAGGATTATCTGAATTTTAAGTCTGCAAACAATGTTACATTTATTTCAAACACAGGTCCCACTTTATATTAGGTGGCCTTAACTACTATGTACTTACACCAAAAAAATAAGTAAAATATTGTCTTGTTTTGCTGCTATTGAGGTGGGATACGGGTAAGGTTAGGGACAGGTTTGGTGGTGTGTAGGTTTAAGGGTTGGTAAAGATGTAAGGGATGGGTCAACAGTGTGACTATAAATGTAATTACAGAAATGAATTATAGATGTAATTACATGCAGGTATTTTTTTTTTAAATAAGTACAATGTAAAAACATGTATAAGTGCACTGTATCAAATCATTACTTTAAATCTTAGTACATAGTACTTAAGGTCACCTAATATAAAGTGTGACCCAAACACAATTATTGGGCTGCCAAAAAACAACTGATCGTTATAGACAATATAGTCAGGTTGATCTATGAAGCTGTTTATGTTCTGAAAATGTTGACATTTTTACAGACTTTGCTTGAATTCGCCTACGGAAAAGCAAGAAACGTTTTCTTCAACAATGTCTCATGGGTCTTCACTGCTTTTTGACATTTTCCAAAAAGTCTTCTTTCCATTTCATTCATTCACTGCTGCTTGATCTTTCTGTAAAGTGTCATGGCTCATTTTTTGACAGACCACTGTAAAGGATCAATTGACAGAAGAGAGGAACATTTATGTGTGCATTAGACTAGGAGGACTATTGTAGAATGTAATAAGAAATTATGAAGTATAAAAAGATGTGGATAGTAAAGGGGAATTTAAAATACTGAACATTTTCTTTGAACATAATAATATATGACCAAAGTACCTAATTGACTAATTCATCTATTCTTTGTACAACTTTACTCTTGAATACATCGGAGAAAAAAAAAGAGAATATCAGGATTTTGGACTGGATGGACTGAGCTGCTTACATGTGATAACAAAGTCTCATTCTAAAGTTTAAGTCTTCCCATAGCTGTAGAAGCTATCAAAAACAGAGAGAAATAACTGAAGTCATGCTTTTATGTCTTGTGTTTGTAATGGTTAAGTCCATTTAAATGGACTTCCTCAGCAATTCCGTGATCGAGATTTGCAAAAATGAGCACCATTTATGTTTGTGTCAGTTATGGTCCACATTTCAGAAGAAAGAGACTCAAAAGGAGGAATGACCTCACACTAACCCCCTTTTCTTTGACTTTGGCCCAACATTACACCTTCTCACAAGTAGGATCTATGCAAATATCTTACAGCCCCAAATACCTGAAATGCCTCTCTGACAAATAGCCCCTTCATAGGCCCTTCTGATCCAGCTAACATCATAAGCTTCCAGTGTCCGTTAATCAGGTCTGTAAAAGAGGGAAAAAGAAACATATTTTATGGCAGTAAGGGTTTCCATGGGATGAAAGTTCAAAATTAGACATAATACTATACCCTGAGCGAAAACACACTTTGTATTGAAGATCAAACTGCCTCTTATTGTAATTAGGACCTTTAATATTCTCAACTTGCAGTCTAAAAATTCTGGAGTTATAGAAGTAGGTCAATTGCCACAGCTGGTACATTCACAACTCAGACAATAACAACATTGCTGGGCTAGGATTCTGCCCTTTGTAGATCTACCTCAGTGGGAAAGCAGACAATTTTTTCCAAATTTCCTGTTTACATATGTGGAAAAAATAAATACTCCAACAGGAGTGGACTTGTTGAGTACAGCTGTACCACAGACAGATGCTTTAGCTCTGTGGTGGTATTGTGCATGGTGTTTACCAAAGTTAAGCTGCAGTTAAAGTCTTGTTCTTTTAAAATGGTGATTGCTGCTGTTTGCGAATATCTGTTACACTAATTTTGTCTTACAGTGTGCAATTAATCATAAGGCACTGTTATAGGCAATTTTACTCATTTAGAAGATGTGCTTAAATTTAAATTTACTGGGAAATCACATTTCTAGATTTATGTGCAAACTCCAAACATATTCATCTGCCATCAAGATATTAATGCAAGTAAATGCAACTTTGTCATTTCACTAATGTACAGCATTTGCTATGGACTTCAAACTTGGCTCCATCATATCTGTTTACAAAACCCTCTGAGCGCAGGTTAAACTTGTGAAATTCATTATGATAATAAGACATAAAATGAACAGGCTTCCAGTATTATCCTTCTGCCAAGAATACAAAATAAAACTAAATTGGCACCTGTAAGCAGTTACAGAGATCTTTATGCTGCCCTTTGTATGACAGGTAGTAAAAGGCTCAAATATGCATCAGTTTCACATTCACAAGCCAGTGCAGCTGAAATCTGCATTATTGATACAGTTTCCTCATTTTATAATCCAACAAGTGATTAAAAGGTTTATCAGACAGGTTAGAGTTTGTAATTGGATTTGGGAGATAAACACAGTCGGGCTTGACTGCAACCTGTCATGTTGAGTTAAAATAGCACATATTGAACCTTTTCATCAGTGACAGGTCATCACCACAAAGCTTCAACACAATACCACAATCAAACAACATTCCAGAACAGTTGAGAAAAATAAAGTAGTTCAGAAATATTTACAAAGCCTTTTTCTAAGGTTCTTTGAGCCATCTGAACCACAGTGTGAGCCATTACCACTAAATGGACAAGATTATTCCCAGAAGAGGCCAACCAGTCAAATTTCAACAAGGGCTTCAAACGATCTCTGAAAAAGGTTTCTCGGGCATTGGCTAAGGTCAATGTCATAACTCAACCTTAAGAAACCACTGCTTACCAAGAAGAACAACAAAGTTCTTCTCATGTTTGCTAAAAACCATTTGGATGATGGCCCAAATGTTTGGGATAATATTCTAAGGACAGATGAGTAAAAATGAAAAGTTTTTGGAGGATGTAGGTCTTCTTATGTCTTGAGTGAAGAAAAAACAGCATTACAGAACATCATCTTCAGTAGTAAACTGTGATTACGGCAGTGTGATTGTATTGCCATTTTTGTTGTTGTGAAACAACCTGCTTAAAGGAATCATCATTTCTGCTCTACACCAGAGAATTCTAAAAGGGATACTCCACCCAAAAATGAAAATTCTCTCATGATATAAGTGCATCATGAAGTGCTACGTTAGCATGTTAATAAGCAATTCTTTTGTGAGAGAAGTAATGAGAAGTGCTGTTTTGTTGTGCGCTAGCGTGTAAGCAAGCATTGTCGCAGACAAATTAATCAGCCAGTGACAACAACGTAGAGGTTGCCTCTTCTCATGTCACTTTTTTCCAGTATCCCGCAATTACGAACAGAAACAGCAACTGAAATACATTTTTGGACGATTCACAAAAACGTTGTAAGTTAAGGTAGGTTTGAATAGATGCACAAACCAGCATAAAAAAAAGCTAGGGAAAACACACGCATATGTTGTATTGGACGTTTGAGTAAAAGTCCTGCTGTTAAAGATATGTAGCTGTTGTGACAACTAGCCTCAGTCATTTGTTCACCTTGTGCACCCTGCTTATGTTGTGTCATAGTTGAATGCCTGCTACTGTATGTTGGAAGAAGGCTGGATACTGTCACTTGTGTTTGAAGCAGGCCAGCCAATTAGGACATTATTTTTTGGGAGGAATTTCACAGCACAGGATGGCACCAGCACGCTACATTCAGACACAGGATCTGAGCAAGTCTATGACAAGATCAAGTTGTCATCCAAAAACCCACAGTTAAATACATATTTTGATGAGCCCCTAATGATGCACACACACGTATGCACGTATGCATGTATGCAGACAGACAGACAGACAGACAGATAGATAGATAGATAGATAGATAGATAGATAGATAGATAGATACACACACACACATAAATACATAGCATATATATATATATATATATATATATATATATAGCCTTACTTCAGTCAACAAAACCAAGGTTGGATTTTATAGGTTTTTTTATTAGTAATATGGAATTTATGAATGTAAAATTTGGTTAAAAATACATAATAAATTATTAAGTAGTAGCCAAAAAGTAAACATTGAATATTTTCATTGATAATTCTGTATTCCACACCACAATAAATAATATAATTTTCTGGATAAAGTCTTTAAGTTTAAAGGAGATTTATTAACTTTATTTCTAAAACATATTCCATTTGAAACATGTCCTGCTTTGACTGTGAACTTCCTTATGTGCACTGAATTAAAGGATTTTGCAATTGCCTTTAAGGCGTAAAAAATATATTTAAAAAAACTGCGGGCCTATTTCTTCTTGTTGAAAGCTAAATAACCCTTACAAGATACAATTTCACAAGAGCAAATGGCCAAATCAGCATGAAAAGCAAGTTGGAGAATGATCCACATCTGTGATAAATTACCAGCTTTGTATTTAAATAGTCTTGTGTGACGTTCTTTTCTGTTCTTTTTTCATTTTCTTTTTTTGACGAAAGCGAAAATAAACGGGTTCCTTTTGGAAAGACACACCTTCCATTGAATCCCTTCTAGTTTCCCGAGCGAAGTGTTTCTTTCTCAGAAGACAGTTGAGGGCGACAGAGGGAATTATGCTTCCAGTGTCCCAAATCTTCAGCATGCCTACTAAGTAAGATTCAGTCAGCGACTTGACTAAGCGCTTGTACTTCACCTCAGCAAACCATGTCTGTGCCGCTTTGGACTTAACTTTCCAGTTTTCATCATCATCATCGGATCTATTGCTGTCAGATGGGGAAGTCTGCATCGCGCCTCGCAGGTTCCTCTCTTTGGAAAGTAGTACTACATTTGACACTTGGGAGGAAAGACCACGGCATGTAGTATTGTACTACAGTGTTGCATGAAGACTTTCAGCGGTTATTAAAGGACATTGTGATATGGAAGTAATTCAGCAACTCTGTCATGTCTTGACTGCAGCAGCAAACACTCCCGAAGAAGAATGAAGTAAGCGCGATGGAGCCGGACAATGCCCTGAACTCCAGACTCAAAGCAGCTGGAGTCGGGGGGTGAGTATGACAATAGATAGATAGATTTCACACAAACGTTAAATGGGTCATAATTTAGCCTTTTGGCTGTCAGCTCCTTACATAAGGAAGAATGAGTTCACGAAGGGAGGTCCGTTATGATGTCCATTCTGGAGTTTGGGGAAACTTGATGAATGAATGGAACACAGAAAACTTGTTGAACAGCCTTCTTCCAGAAGTAATTTGCTGGAGAAAATCGTAGGCTACGTATTTGTTTTGCATTAACTTCTTTTTACTGATTTAATGAATGAATTAATTGCTTTTTATGCGTGAGTTATGAGTTTTAGAATAGAAAATGATTTTCATATTTCTTTAGTCTCTTTCTGGAATGAATGACCAGCCCTGGTCAGCTGTTTATTTTCTAATTTTTATAATAAAATATATCTAAAATATCTAAAAATCTTAAAAACAAAATCAAATTACTTGAAATGAAAGCTGTGTAACATATTAAGTCTTGTTTTCAATGACTGTTTGTGGAATAATTTCATTAATATTTTATTATTTTCATTTTAATAATATTTACACCATTGGCAAACGTTTTTTTCCTTAGGAATACATACATATATATATATATATATATATATATATATACACACACACACACACACATGCATGTACAGTAGTATTGTACTACAGAATTGCACGAAGACCTTCAGCGGTTATTAAAGGACATTGTGATATGGAATTAATTCAGCAACTATATGCTATATATGCTGTTCTACCATATAGGCTTAAGCTTTTCTCAAAATATACATGTTTGGTCTTTTTCTAACTTTTCTCATATGTGGAATTGGCATAGAGAAATCAGCTGTTACAAATCTTGACTGCATTTGGATACAATTACCGTTGTAGTAAACTTTGTTAGGGGTGACGGGGTGAAATCTTGTGTTTAGATTAGTACTCTCTCGCTTTCTCTTGCACTCTCTGAACTGTATCATGGTCCGTGGTGGGACTGTATGAAAGTGGTTATGAGTGGGAGGGGGCAGCATGGCAAGCGTACAGTTCTTGTGGCTATGACTGAAAATGCTGACTAAAGTAAAACTGCATACAGTACAATATCTGGTCACGAATGGCATTCCCACATCCACACTGTCAGCACATGGGGGCAGAAAAAGAATATATAAATGAACACCAGAGTGATGGAGGAGAGGCTAAGATTGTCATGTAGTACGACCTTTGCTTATCATCATTGATCAACTCTCATTATAAATAATTACCTCAGTATGAGAAACCCATGGAGCTATTTTGGCTTTTAGTCCATGTGTTTTAGCTTTAAGACCCTCTAAATGCCAGTGTGCCCCTAAATGTTATAAAAATGAACTTTTAGCAGCTAAACGCATTATGCAAGTTCAGTCCTCTTATCAAATCCTTTCTAGAATGATAATGTCTCCTCCCTCAATACCACTTCTGGCTAGCAATACCAAGTAGAAAATCATGTTTGTCAGCTGTAAACTAAAGGATATTGGGTGTTTTTGGACATGGGCATTCATTTAACATGCCCACTTTAACCTCAGCTTCCTGTTTCAATAGGAAATACATCAACACAGGAAAGAAAACTGGACTCGTCAAGCCATTTTTTGGGGTCTCCATTAGAATTTTTATGACATTGCAGGACCACTTAGAGCACAATTATAATTTTTTGGCATCCAGGCAGATGATAAGCTTTGACTGCCTACTGAGCAGAAACAGCTGTTAGGGCTTTACAGTAAAGGCTGCTGCTGCTGCCAAGTGTTACTGGGCCTACAGGCAGATGGAGCGCTGCTTTTGGACACTGACTAGACTGGTAATTTAGATGGATGTGGTGATGCTTTAGTGTAGAATGGAACAATGTGATCCCAATACTTTGTTTTCTTTCGGTAGCTGAGAGAAAAAAGTGGCAAAGGCTTTTTGGTTCTTTGGTTTGATCTTTCTTGGGTATGAAATGACTCTCTGAGAGGCATTGTTGTTTTCTCAGTGTTGGAATACACTGTGGTTGGACTTTTAAGCTTAATTTGAGAGATTGGACACATACACTTTCATTACAGATTTCTTGTCAGCATTCATGTGGGAAATATTTTAAATATATTAAAACTCTAAGGATATAAACTACTGTTCAAATGTTTTGGGTCAGTAAGATTTATTTTAATAAATTAATCATTTTATTCAGCATGGAAACATTGAATTGATCACAAGTGACAGTAAATGCATTTAATGTTTCAGAATATTGCTATCTAATAAATGCTGTTCTTTTGAACTTTCAGGTTATTTAACAATCCGTAAAAATGTATAATGGTTTTCACAAAAATATTAAAATAATTAAAGCAGCACAGCTGTTTTCAACAGTGATAATAATAAATGTTTGTTAAGCACCAGATTAGCATATTAGAATGATTTTTTGAGAATCATGTGACACTGAAACTGGAGTAATGACTGCTGAAATTTCAGCTTTGCCATGGTTTGAACTGTTCTGGAATATTGTTGTAAATACAACTTAACCACTGATTTCTAGTCGTGTCCATTTTTGGAAGGCCAAACTAAGTAGTTTCGCTTTCACAACGAAACACACAGCGTCACACACCGCGGCCTTGAGTGAGCGGAGGCCGGAGGCCTAGAGTGAGCCGCAGCCTAGAGTGAGCGGAGGCCGGCTTGAGTAAGCAGAGGCGGGCGGGCTTAAGAACGGCGCAGCCGGAGGATTTGACGAAGGAGCGTCCGGCGGGCTTGCGGCAACCACATGTGACGACCCCGGGCTGGACTCCGCTTCGTCCACGGTGAAAGCCGATCCAGCGATCCACAGCGCAAAGTTGATGTATTTCCTCAGCGACCAGCATGGATCAGCTCTAGGCATGACGAAGTGGATATCGTCCTCTTTTGGAAGGCCAAACAAAGTAGTTTCGCTTTCACAATGAAACACACAGCGCCTTCACGACATGGCAGCGGCGGCAACAACAATACTACAGCGAGAATAAAAGTTATGCCTTCTTTCTTTGCGTGAACATTTGGGCGGTGTTATGCAAATCTTCCCACACAATGGCGTAGACATGTGGGGGCGTGTTAGGACAAGCCGTTTTAGGTAGGCGTGGTTGACTCTTAACTTTTATAAAGAATATCTCTTTGGATTTGAGACTTTAGTCTTTGCAACTTTACAGATCTTCTTTATGCACCAAGAGCTTGTAACAGTCCAAAGAGAAAGGAAAAATTTGAAATAGCATCATATGACCCATTTAAAATGTATTAAAACAGAAAACGGTTAGTCTAAATTGTAATAATATTTCACAATATTACTGTTTTTAAATAAAAATAAATGCAGGCTTGGTGTGCATAAGTAATTTCTTTCAAAAGCATAAATGTACCGACCTCAAACATTTGAATGGTATTATGTAAAACTGTTTTTATTTCAAATGCATTGTCTGGGTAATTCTGCAGTGGTTTACAACTGTGGGTAATGGCTGAAAATTAACTTTAGAAAAAGTTGAATCAAAATGACTGGAAATAAATCACTTTAGTTCCAGTCCTATTTTACATGTGTCAAATTCATGCTACTAAGTTGTCTCTACTGTTTATATTATTGCTTGAGTCGTGAAGTTGCCAAGAGTCATTGTAAAATCACATTTCAATGTCAGCTAAATGTTTGATCTGTTCAGTTTGTATATGTAATTCTTTTCTCTTTTTTTACAGGAGAGCTGTCTTTCTCTGCATGGTTCTTTACTGTACGTGCTGTCTGAGGTTTGCACAAGCACAGTCTGCAGGTAAGTCAGATTTTTCATTCATGAATTTTAGTGCCTGATCAGCATGTGAAATGTGCATCTGCAAAATGTCTGTTCAGTTTTACCTTGGTCTTGACATCTGTGTCATAACCCTGTACGTTACATGAGCACATGGGTTCATTGAAGTCCAAAGACCTCACACTGCCTTGCAATAAAATTTGAGGATACTTGACAGGACTTGGATAAATAGACCTCTAATGTTACAACCCATTGGAGTTTTCCATGAGTCAGAGGTGAAAGAGGCTACAGGTACTATATTTTTAGGAGCAGTGTGGTCCTTATTTGCCAGAGTTAACAATATTCGGATGACATATGGAGGAGCCTTTGATCAACAACATATAACTGGTCTGAGTCGGTTTATTTTACTGTAGTAAATCAGAAGCCATTGTTTGCACAATTCTATATGTTTTGTATTTGATTCCAACCTCAGTTGAATGGCATTGTGCCTGATTGGATGTCACTGAGTTTACTGACTGTAGATGTTTAGAGTTTTTAATATTGGATAGTTCCTGTGTTTATTTCTAACATACATACTGTAATGTTGGTGGTCTGTTCCTGCAATGTAAAATCGTCACTTAAATTTAGGTTTTGAGGCATTGAGTATGCATGACATGAAGGACCAGCATGTGCACTTTTTTGGCTTTTTGTTTCAATCAAGTAGTCTAAACGTATTGGTTCTCATTCAAGGTGTGTCTAGAATTCCCACATCTGCTCTGTATAGAATTTATGTGGTGGGAGGTTCATATTATCTGTCACATTCAGTCTAACTCATTCATATACATGTAATATATGGTGCTTCTGTGTCAGACATTAATGAAATGCAACAACTATCATGTTTTAAACATGTCATGAAAAATGCCTTTGTTCTTGAGTGTATGTTTGATGTTTTTACCATATGTGAGGCAGTCCATATAGCACATTCTCCCTCTGCTGTCAGATTTCTCTGGGTATCCGCTGCATGACTTATGATCAAGTCATCTTAGCTGGAGAGTTTCTGGAATTCTTCTCTAGCCGTTGCTCTTATCTTTAGTGTAAAATATGATTTCCAGTATATGACATTCTACTTTCCACTGACATTTCATTCTGACATCAATTTCATGGGCAACAGGAAGTTTTGGTAGATTTTAGCCTGGTTCTTGGAACTGATGCTGATTCAAGCGCTTCATTTACAGCTCCATTTCTAATGCATCCACTGTTTTAACTCTACAGAGCATTAAAGGGATAGTTCACCCAAAAATGAAAATTACCCCATGATTTTCTCACCCTCAAGCCATCCTAGGTGTATATGACTTTCTTCTTTCAGACGAACACAATCAGAGTTATATAAAAAAATGTCCTGGCTTTTCCAAGCTTTATAATGGCAGTGAATGGCTGTTGGTATTCAATAGTCCAATAGAAGTCCAATAAAGTGCATCTATCCTTCATAAAAAAAGTGCCTCACGCGGCTTCAGGGGTTAATAAAAACCCCCTGAAGCAAATTGATGGGTTTTTAAAGAAAAATATCCATATTTAAAACTTTACGTACCGTATACTCTAGCTTCCGCTAACTGTCGTATGCGTGTACACGAGAGAGTGACGTTCCAGCGGATGACGTAGGACGTAGGCTTAGCACAAAATATCCCTTTAAGGCCTGTAACAGGGCCTTTCCTTTGACTTTTACAGTACGTCTTGACCAAAGAGGATTAATATACATGGAGAAAGCTAGGTGTTAGCATTCCCATTCATTGCGGTGGTTCAGAACCCTCCAAAATTACTCAACTGTGAAATCTGCCACCTGTGCTCATGGGCGTCTTCTGCAGCCCACTTTTTAAAGCCACTCATATGAGCCGTAAATGCAATGCAAAGGCCATGACACGCTAAGTCCGACTGGAATGAAGAAAGTAAAGAGCAACTGAGCAGCATAATTCATATTCAAAATGATAACCAATTCCTTCATTGCTTACAGATTCTATTTCCGCAGAGGGTGCGTTCCACTTCACTCTTAAACACACCCTTGCAAAATTTCTTAATCGCTTACCCTCAGCCGCAATTTGGAAGTGCAGATCCTTGACCCCTTGATTTGGACTGAGGGAGCTGGTCTACTCATGTGTACACTTCAGGCAGCTATACACAATGCAACAAAATTGTGATGTCACAGCAGATGAATATAGACTACTGCCACCTGCTGGTACAGATGTTTTTTTCCTCTCACACAGGAGCAGAACGTACATGATAATTGGCAGTTGGCTGTAGTCTTTGCGATGTGTTCAATCGCAACTTTTTGTCCCAGACAAAAATGTCTGATGAATGTCTGATGCATATGGCAGACAAAATTGGAAACACTTTAGGAGTTTCGAAGTCGTCATCTGATCGGTTAAATTCTACGGTATTTCCGAGAGATGTGTGTGTCACGTTCTTTAAAGTTCTGCCTGAAAACAAAGATGCCTGTCAGTCATATGGCCTCTTGGGCGATCATTGGCCATTCAAAGCGGCCAAGGTTCCCAGACCTTCAGCCGTCAGTCTATGCAAGACTAGAGTTTTGGTAAAGGGTTGGACTTTATGGCTAGGGTTAGGTTTAGGTCTTATGTTTTTGTACAAACCAACTACAATTTCTTATGCAAATGTACAATGTCTTGTGCAAATATTATGTCTTCTTATGAGACCAGGTTGTTTCTTCTGAATTATGTTTCCTGATTCTGGGAATTTCAGAGAAATTGCTTACAATCTATTGTAGCCAGCTAGAAAACATTTTACCCTGGTGACAAAAAACAACTGTAAATGATCAGAATTTGCAATAGAAATGGTCAAAACAAGTCTTCAAAGCATAAAAACAAATGTAAGATGTAATGGCAATGCAGCTGTGACCTGATAGGGCAAGTATCAATTGCGTCAAGTGGTCCTAAACTCGTTCACACTGGCCAGGGTCAGCAGGTCATGCTTATCGTTGAACCCTGCTTTAAAGGAGTTTATTTCATGCTGTTTATGACTCTTTCAGACAGCACCCCTTACTGTGATTTGTGAGTAGAACCAATGGATGTTCATCATGTGTTCTGTTGAGGTGCATCGTTGGAGTTGTGCTATTGTTAGAGTTTTGTGTCAGGATCTCATGTGATTTATGTGAAATTATTCAGATCATTAATTTTCTAAATTCAGAGCAGTTGTTTTCCTGCTGTTTGTCAGGAGATGATCTGTCTTTCAGATCTTTCAGACATGCTCAATAATGAAGTGGCCAATATGTTAGTAACTCTGTTTAGATTTGCTTACAATACTACTGCAGACATAGTTCTTTCTTTCAACAATCCCGTCCAATCTGCTGATCATCATTTGTTAAATGATACAGGGCTTACAGAGAAGAAAGTCTGTGCACATTATTCCATTTACATGTGCTTTTCATTTAGTACTCATTGGGTATATTTTATAACTGCAAATGTTAAGCTGGATTTTGTTTAGTTGATATGTGTTTGGGTTAGATTTGGTTTTGTGATGTATACTCTCATTTGTTTTTATTCTAAACTCATTACTGATTGTTTAGAAGTGGCAGTCCGAAGACAGGCATTGACTGTTTCTTCTGCCGCCTTACGCATTGTATTTTGTTACATTTACTTGTCATAAAAGTAATCAATTTGGGTGCTATTGATATTGGTCATACCATAGGAATTAAAACAAAAAATATTTTTCATAAACTGACTTCAGAGAAGTAAATTTTTCTTAACCCCAATGTTTTACTTGAAAAATACAAAAATAGTTAGAGTTATGCTTAAAATGTTGCCAGTAAAAATAACTATTATAAGAAAAGGGGCTTATTATCGTACACAGCTTTGCTTAGAAAGTAAGTTTAACTTGTTTTAAGAATGTTTAGATATTTTTACTGGGAAACAATATAAAAATGCAGATTAAGAAGAATATATATTTTACAGGTTTATACCCAAATCCACATAATAAACTGGAACACTTCAATCAATACAGACTAACATGCATGTGGTTTCGTAAATCTTACAGGGATGTTTGAGATGCATACTCCCACTCACTTCACTTGACCTGATTTATTGCAGACCTCTAACAATCTAATGAATTTGTAGTAGAGGTGATCAATCTATAACTCACATAAGCCCACACAGTGTTATTTTTCTAAGTGTAACAGTATCAGCAGAGCAGAGTATTTAATGGAAAACTGAAGCATTACCCAAGATGAAACATTAACTTTGCCGCATATGTTCTACATATGCTTTTGTTAATGATCTGTTTCTGTAATGAGCTCAGTGTCTCAGTGTGTGAGCAGCAGCTGCAAGCCTTCAGTCGGCTGCGATGAAATCCATTTTGCTCCTAAATCCTAAATCCATCTACATGTAGTGATTACTGTGGTAATTATTTGTGGTTTTCCTTTTTGTAGATGTGGACGTGCTGCAAAGACTGGGATTGGTTGGGAAACGACCATCTGGGACACGCTCCACACCCCAAGGTGTCATCCCCTTCAAATCAGGAGTCATCCTAACCCAGAGGGCGCGAATTGACGTCCCAGTGAGCTCAGTCGTCCCGGCGTCACTGGGCTCGGCGTTCTCTCTCATCCTCAGCGTATGTTCACATCGCATAAACAATGCTTTCCTCTTCACCATTGTGACAAAGAGGAAAAGACTGCAGCTAGGGGTGCAGTTCATCCCTGACCAAATCTTAGTTTACTTGGGCCAAAAGAACACTGTAAAGTTCGATTATGATGTTCACAATGGTCAGTGGCACAACCTGGCTTTGGAAATCCAGGCCCAAAGGGTTACTTTATATACTTCTTGTGGGAAGACAAGTGTACATGCACATTTGCATTTTAAAAATGAGGAAACGCTGGATCCAGAGGGCTCCTTTCGATTGGGAAAAACAAGCCAGAACTCAGTGCAGTTTGAAGGAGCCATCTGTCAGTTTGATATTCATCCCTCTGCTAAGGCAGCTCACAATTATTGTAAGTACATTAAAAAACAGTGCAGGGAAGCTGACACTTATCGGCCAAACCTCCCTCCTCTTTTACCGCTATTATCCCTGGATCCCAATATATCTGTTACCGTTCAGACCCCAAATGTTGTAACAGAGGTAAACGACAGACATCTTTCATTAACACAAGACAAAGTACGCTTTAATCATGAAACCTCACAAGTCCTAAACACCTCCGTTCTAATTACATCTCAGTCTGTACAAAGCACGGTGCCACCGACGATAGCCCAGCCCACACTACAGCTCCCCCTGCAGGCCACATCACAAACTGCCATGGCCTCCTTTGGGAGTAGGACATCACAAATATCTTCAAAGCCAACTCAACAAAGCAGTCCCAGGAAGAACCTCATGAAGGCAACTGTAAAGCCCCAGATACTAAAAGAGAACGGGATGGCTGTCACCTCCACACCAGCAGGCCAACAGAAGAACAAACTGGATATCCAGACCCCTGCCACAACAAAACCTAAACCTTCTAGCACATCCAGAGTGTCGGAGATGACAACATTAGCATCACAGAGACCATTACCAAAGGAGACCTCCAAACCCAGCTCTTTTGAGCCCGTCACCCCTGCAGCAACGGATGGTTTCCAAACCTTTGACCTTGAACTAACCCAATACTCCCTCTTGGCTGGGCCACCAGGACAGAAAGGAGAACCAGGACCACTGGTAGGATGTTCTTTCTTTTTTTAAGACATGTAGTCAAACAACAAAGTCATGTAGTCCAAGCAACATGGAGAAATATGCAAAAAACATGAAACACGAATGTTATCGTTGAGAGGACCCCATGACTGTGAGTCAAACCTGTTGAAAAAACACCATATGCTGGTTAGGCATGTTTTGAAG